GGTCTAAACTCTACTTGCCACGTTTGGAGGAAGAAGAAGGATGAGTACAACCCCAAGAACACCATCCCAACCGTGAAGAATCCATCATTCTTTGGGGATGCTTTTCTGCAAAGGGGACAGGACGACTCCACCGTATTGAGGGGAGGATGGATGGGGCCATGTATTGCGAGATCTTGGCCAACAACCTCCTTCCCTCAGTAAAAGCATTGAAGATGGGTCGTGGCTGGGTCTTCCAGCATGACAACGACCTGAAACACACAGCCAGGGCAACTAAGGAGTGGCTCCGTAAGAAGCATCTCAAGGTCCTGGAGTGGCCTAGCCAGTCTCCAGACCTGAACCCAATAGAAAATCTTTGGAGGGAGCTGAAAGTCCGTATTGCCCAGCGACAGCCCCGAAACCTGAAGGATCTGGAGAAGGTCTGTATGGAGGAGTGGGCCAAAATCCCTGGAGCAGTGTGTGCAAACCTGGTCAAGACCTACAGGAAACGTATGATCTCTGTAATTGCAAACAAAGGTTTCTGTACCAAATATTAAGTTCTGCTTTTCTGATGTATCAAATACTTATGTCATGCAATAAAATGCAAATTAATTACTTAAAAATCATACAATGTGATTTTCTGGATTTTTGTTTTAGATTCCGTCTCTCACAGTTGAAGTGTACCTATGATAAAAATTACAGGCCTCTACATGCTTTGTAAGTAGAAAACCTGCAAAATCGGCAGTGTATCAAATACTTGTTCTCCCCACTGTATATATATATATATATATATATATATATATATATATATATATATATACATACAGTGAGTGAAAAAAGTATTTGATCCCCTGCTGATGTTGTACGTTTGCCCACTGACAAAGAAATGATCAGTCTATAATTTTAATGGTAGGTTTATTTGAACAGTGAGAGACAGAATAACAACAACAAAAATCTAGATAAACGCATGTCAAAAATTTTATAAATTGATTTGCATTTTAATGAGGGAAATAAGTATTTGACCCTCTCTCAATCAGAAAGATTTCTGGCTCCCAGGTGTCTTTTATACAGGTAACGAGCTGAGATTAGGAGCACACTCTTAAAGGGAGTGCTCCTAATCTCAGTTTGTTACCTGTATAAAAGACACCTGTCCACAGAAGCAATCAATCAATCAGATTCTAAACTCTCCACCATGGCCAAGACCAAAGAACTCTCCAAGGATGTCAGGGACAAGATTGTAGACCTACACAAGGCTGGAATGGGCTACAAGACCATCGCCAAGCAGCTTGGTGAGAAGGTGACAACAGTTGGTGCGATTATTCGCAAATGGAAGAAACACAAAAGGACTGTCAATCTCCCTCGGCCTGGGGCTCCATGCAAGATCTCACCTCGTGGAGTTGCAATGATCATGAGAATGGTGAGGAATCAGCCCAGAACTACACGGGAGGATCTTGTCAAGGATCTCAAGGCAGCTGGGACCATAGTCACCAAGAAAACAATATGTAACACACTACGCCGTGAAGGACTGAAATACTGCAGCGCCCGCAAGGTTCCCCTGCTCAAGAAAGCACATATACAGGCCCGTCTGAAGTTTGCCAATGAACATCTGAATGATTCAGAGGAGAACTGGGTGAAAGTGTTGTGGTCAGATGAGACCAAAATCGAGGTCTTTGGCATCAACTCAACTCGCCGTGTTTGGAGGAGGAGGAATGCTGCCTATGACCCCAAGAACACCATCCCCACCATCAAACATAAAGGGTGGAAACATTATGCTTTGGGGGTGTTTTTCTGCTAAGGGGACAGGACAACTTCACCGCATCAAAGGGACGATGGACGGGGCCATGTACCGTCAAATCTTGGGTGAGAACCTCCTTCCCTCAGCCAGGGCATTGAAAATGGGTCGTGGATGGGTATTCCAGCATGACAATGACCCAAAACACACGGCCAAGGCAACAAAGGAGTGGCTCAAGAAGAAGCACATTAAGGTCCTGGAGTGGCCTAGCCAGTCTCCAGACCTTAATCCCATAGGAAATCTGTGGAGGGAGCTGAAGGTTCGAGTTGCCAAACGTCAGGCTCGAAACCTTAATGACTTGGAGATCTGCAAAGAGGAGTGGTACAAAATCCCTCCTGAGATGTGTGCAAACCTGGTGGCCAACTACAAGAAACGTCTGACCTCTGTGATTGCCAACAAGGGTTTTGCCACCAAGTACTAAGTCATGTTTTGCAGAGGGGTCAAATACTTATTTCCCTCATTAAAATGCAAATCAATTTATAACATTTTTGACATGCGTTTTTCTGGATTTTGTTGTTGTTATTCTGTCTCTCACTGTTCAAATAAACCTACCATTAAAATTATAGACTGATCATTTCTTTGTCAGTGGGCAAACGTACAAAATCAGCAGGGGATCAAATACTTTTTCCCTCACTGTACAGTACCAGTCAAAAGTTTGGACACACCTACTCATTCAAGTGTTTTTCTTTATTTTTACTATTTTTTACATTGTAAAATAATAGTGAAGACATCAAAACTATGAAATAACACATATGGAATCATGTAGTAACCAAAAAAGTGTTAAACAAATCAAAATCTATTTTATATTTGAGATTCTTCAAAGTAGACACCCTTTGCCGTGATGACAGCTTTGCACACTCTTGACATTCTCTCAACCAGCTTCATGAGGGATGCATTTCAATTAACATGTGTGCCTTGTTAAAAGTTTATTTGTGGAATTTCTTTCCTTCTTCATGTGTTTGAGCCAATCAGTTGTGTTGTGACAAGGTATGGGGGGGTTTACAGAAGATAGCCCTATTTGGTAAAATACCAAGTCTATATTATTGCAAGAACAGCTCAAATAAGCAAAAATAAACGACAGTCCATCATTACTTTAAGACATGAAGGTCAGTCAATACGGAAAATTGCAAGAACTTTGCAGTCGCAAAAACCATCAAGCGCTATGACGAAACTGGCTCTCCTGAGGACCGCCACAGGAATGGAAGACCCAGAGTTACCTCTGCTGCAGAGGATAAGTTCATTAGAGTTACCATGGTCCTCTGTAGCTCAATTGGTAGAGCATGGCGCTTGTAACGCCAGGGTAGTGGGTTCGATCCCCGGGACCACCCATATGTAAAAAAGAATGCACACATGACTGTAAGTTGCTTTGGATAAAAGCGTCTGCTAAATGGCATATTATATTATTATTATTACCAGCCTCAGAAATTGCAGCCCAAATAAATGCTTCACAGAGTTCAAGTAACAGACACATCTCAACATCAACTGTTCAGAGGAGACTGTGTGAATCAGGCCTTCATGGTCAAATTGCTGCAAAGAAACCACTACTAAAGGACACCAATAATAATAAGAAACTTGCTTGGGCCAAGAAACATGAGCAATGGACATTTGACCCGTGGAAATTTGTCCTTTGGTTTGGAGTCCAAATTTGAGATTTTTGGTTACTTCCGCCGTGTCTTTGTGAGACGCGGTGTGGGTGAACGGATGATCCCAGCATGTGTATTTCCCACCGTAAAGCATGGACGAGGAGGTGTTATGGTGTGGGGGTGCTTTGCTGGTGACACTGTCTGTGATTTATTTAGAATTCAAGGCACACTTAACCAGCATGTATACCACAGCATTCTGCAGCGATACGCCATCCCATCTGGTTTGGGCTTAGTGGGACTATCATTTGTTTTTCAACAGGACAATGATCCAACACACCTCCAGGCTGTGTAAGGGCTATTTTACCAAGAAGGAGAGTGATGGAGTGCTGCATCAGATGACCTGGCCTCCACAATCCCCCGACCTCAACCCAATTGAGATGGTTTAGGATGAGTCGGACCGCAGAGTGAAGGAAAAGCAGCCAACAAGTGCTCAGCATATGTGGGAACTCCTTCAAGACTGTTGGAAAAGCATTCCAGGTGAAGCTGGTTGAGAGAATGCCAAGAGTGTGCAAAGCTGTCATCAAGGCAAAGGGTGGCTATTTGAAGAATCTCACATATATATATATATATATTGTTTAACACTTTTTTTGGTTACTACATGATTCCATATGTGTTATTTCATAGTTTCGATGTCTTCACTATTATTCTACAATGTAGAAAATAGTAAAAATAAAGAAAAACCCTTGAATGAGTAGGTGTGTCCAAACTTTTGACTGGTACTGTATATATACACGTCCAATTTAATTTAATTTTCAAAGTGAACCTATGTGCTGCCACATTTAAGATTATGTGCTGTTACAGTATAAATACAAATATGATACATAGAATTCAACTTAAATACTAAGACAAAGTCGCTTGCAACATAAAAACCCTTAACAATTTTCACAGACAAAAAGCCTTCATGGATATGGAAACCGCAAACTATTCAAATCAACTCACAGTGCATCTAAATGACTTCAAGGCCTGAGGGAGCAACATCCTGGTATTTCATTATTCATTTTCATCACGGAAAACAGAAAAGACCAGTCGTCCTAATTTCATCATATTGTTTTGGGGTCTAATACAGTAAACCACAAAAGGTTAGAATGGTTGCTGTCTCTATGCAAACTACTCTACTAAGCACTTAAGAATAAGACTCGAATGAGCAAACCAACAAAACTAAACTGTGGGTTAAAGGCTACTCCAGCAGAAACAATGTGGGTTAGTCGGTTGGTTGCTGATCACCAGTTCTTTGGCATTCCTTCTTCAGTCAATTGAAACACAGTGAATTGGAGTGATGCAGTGCTTTTGACAGGAAGCAATTTACATTATATTTACACCTTTCTTAAAGAAACAGTAAACATACATTAGTGACCAGTGCAATGCAGTGATGCTGTGTTGATGGGAGGTTAATAATGAGAGGTGAATGAAGAGGGGTAGTTTAATCTGTGGTCAGTATGAAGCTGCTCTATCTGTTTGTTGTAGATAGCTGAGTGCTGTGGTGTGTGACAGTGCCTCATGTGGTCCAGCACATAGCTGCTCTTTGTTAATAGGAGACTCGTTAGTGTGTGAGTGAGTGAGAGTATATACTAGATGTATGTGTGTTGAGGTTAATTAGACCTCCTGTGGTCAATGTAGCTGTTCTCAATACACAGCACTATGAAATGGTTAGAGCAGCTGCGGGTGTGTTGGCCCAGAAGTCTGCCTGTCTGGAGGAGCGAGGCCTGGCCCGTCACCGCCATGTCACCCGCTCGCCACGCCTCGCAGTAGTTAGTGGTCACACGGATGCCCACCGTACTGGAGCCATGCCACACCAGCTTCTGAGGCCTGTGTTCACAGAAAACACACACAGAGAGTTAAACACAGACCTTTGACATTTTACATTTACAGACACTCCTATCCAGAGTGACTTTCATCGATGTTCACCTAAATATCCCAATCTGTGATTGTTCTCTGTATGTCTTTTAAGGGGTCAGCCAAAGCTGGTCACTCACCAAGTAGTGTCCGTCATGACGTTCCGTCCTTCAAAGGAGTAGATGGGGATGGATGGGTCAAACATGCCTCCGTTCCCAGAGAAGATGTTCATCCAGCTGCTATAGATCACCTCTCCCTGTGTAAAATATATGGTTAAAGCTACATTTACAGTCACAGACTTCCTGTAGTTCAGAAAGGAAACACCACGTAGAAATATGTTTAACTATTTATTAAAGAATGAATAATACAAGTCTTGGTAATATAGGCTCTGCTCCTTCAGGGTAGCTCACTGTCCAAGCAAAGCGTCAATATATCAAATGACCTACAAGCAGGGAGCGCGGATGGCTATACAGTACCAATCCCCTAGCAGGAAAACAGAACCTAACAGGTGGAGGCTGGGGTGGTGGGAGCAAAATAAACAAACACATCCTAGCAGCAAGCAGCAGCAGGATGTGTGAGCAGAACCAGTCAGATGAAATAGACCGCCAAATAAGGTAAGCGTGATTGTTACTAGCATCTAATTTTGGGTTCCCTTTCTGAACTGGCTTTGCTTTATTTTCAACAACCGCATCATAACCAAAAAACTAAGGACCTATCAGTCCATTGTTTATGTTTTAGTTGTCATAAGAGACAACAACTGTACCTTGAGGTTGATGACGGGCATGTTGTAGCGGTCTCCCTTCTTGACGATAGTGGCCAGGTCCTGGAGGTGTGAGGACAGGAAGGCTCTGTAGGTGGCAGTGAGACCTATGGCTCGGGCCTGCTGGTAGCACTGGAAGTCTGCCCCCCGGATGCCACGCATATCCCCAGAGAACGGAGCATTCAGGGCCACCAGGTGCAGCTGAGGGGGGCAAAAGTCAATGGACGTAAACATAGACAACACACCTCAAGCAAGTCCATGGTGACTATGTGCAACTGAGAGGTTTAAATTCCACCTTACCCCTGGTACTGAGTGTACTGTATGAGGTAGGACATTATAGTTGGGCACGTAGCTAGTTCCAACTAGTTCCTAAAAAAACAGACACAAGCGCAGATTGACACTTTGAATAATGAAATCAGAATTTAAACATTCATAATAGACTGTGAAGAGAGATCGGATGTAGTGTTCAATGTAACCACAGCGGGTTGTGTGTTACTGTAGCCAAAGTACCTGGCTGTGTGGCCTGTGGGGTCTGCTGCGATCTCCTGGTCTGCTCAGGGCCTGGGACACTGCAGAGGATGGGCTCTCTGCTGGGACGAGGATCAGCTCACCAAGCTGGGGAGACAGGACACACCTCACTGAATAAGCACAGGCAACATCACAATTTGCTTTGAATTTAGCCATATCAAAGGCTTTAATTAATTGGAGACATCACTGTGGGATTGTGGGACTGTAAAGGCATGCAGTACCTGAACCTTGCGCCAGCCATCTCTAGTTCTAATGTAGAGTTCTCCCTTGTCTGAGACGTAGGCCATGGAGCCCTCTGCAGCACGGTGGCTCTCCCTCATCAGAGTGTTGGTGTTCCTGTATGTGGTCACCTGGGGCGAGAAGAGAGGAAGTTCACACTGAATCATCTGGACATCGCTACTCAAGCCAATCCATGGTGACAATGTGAGAACTAGTGCACACGCAAACCCACACACAAGTAGGTACACACAAACACACATTTCCCTGTGTGTTTACCTATGCTGACTTGGTGAGTATATAAGTACCCTACTGGTTGTCTTACCGGGTTTTCATAGCCAGTAATGCCAGGAGGACCGGGAGGCCCAGGTGGGCCAGGAATACTGACAGCTGAAAAATAGAACAGTAATACAAAGGTATAGCAGTGTACTATAGGTCTACCAAACATACATTTGTGCCTTTCAAATACATACACATGGAACTCGACAGCAAGGCCAAGTTTAAGACGTTGTATTTTAGCGAGCACACAGTGCACAGTTACCTGAGCCATAGACAGGGGGTGGTCCAGGGGGTCCGGCAGGGCCAGGGGGCCCCCGAGAGCCTGGTCGTCCAATGCCAGGAACCCCTGGTTCACCAGGAGCTCCAGGATGACCAAGGGTGCCAACGATGGACTCACCTTTTGGCCCCTACATAAGCATATACAAAATGGTCAGAGACACTGTCAAATGTACAGAAATGTCTAATTAATAGCTTTATCATGTATGCAAATTAGTGTATTTTGCTATTTACATTGACTATAGTTTGTAAAATGTATATTGTACTTTGTTGAGTATTTTGAGCCTGTAATTACTCACCACAAGGCCTGATCTCCCAGGAAGACCTGGAGGGCCAGGCAACCCAGGTTCACCCTTGTCTCCTTTCATTCCTTTATAGCCCACATCTCCTTTTTCTCCCTGAGGAACAAACAGTTTGGTTGAATCAGACTATTCATATATTATGACATGCATAACAGTTTAACATAACATACATTTCCACTACTTATACAGTATTTGAATTTTGAACCGGTAAATGTTCCTTAAAGAAGTTAAGGTAAAATACTCACTACAAAGCCTTCCTGTAGAACATCATCTGATGAGGGAGAAGACACATCTTATTGAACTGTCATCTTGTATGTCGGTTGCAAACACGTCTGAGGACGCTCATGCATACAGTTTCTGTTCTAATCAAGTGCAATAATTGCCAATAAACAAGTTAAATGGAGGAGAACCTGCACCCCTGGCTGCACATACATACCTGGTTCTCCAGGCGTTCCAGGCAGTCCAACCTCTCCCTTTTCCCCTTTAGCACCTCCGTTTCCTCTCCTGCCACCTTTATAGAAATACAGTACAGGTGTATGAGACAACTGAGCTCATCTGTATGTAGATGTTGAAAATATTTCTCCATAGACTAGTGATCAAACTGTTATGATGATCACCATGTACAGTTGAAGTCGGAAGTTTACATACACCTTAGCCAAATACATTTAAACTCAGTTTTTCACAATTCCTGACATTTAATCCTAGTAAACATTCCCTGTTTTAGGTCAGTTCGGATCACCACTTTATTTTAAGAATGTGAAATGTCAGAGTAGTAGAGAGAATGATTTATTTCAGCTTTTATTTCTTTCATCACATTCCCAGTTGCTCAGAAGTTTACATACACTCAATTTGTATTTGGTAGCATTGCCTTTAAATTGTTTAAATTGGGTCAAACGTGTCGGGTAGCCTTCCACAAGCTTCCCACAATAAGTTGGGTGAATTTTGGCCCATTCCTCCTGACAGAGCTGGTGTAACTGAGTCAGGTTTGTAGGCCTCCTTGCTTGCACACGCTTTTTCAGTTCTGCCCACAACGTTTCTATAGGATTGAGGTCAGGGCATTGTGATGGCCACTCCAATACCTTGACTTTGTTGTCCTTAAGCCATTTTGCCACAACTTTGGAAGTATGCTTGGGGTCATTGTCCATTTGGAAGACCCATCTGCGACCAAGCTTTAACTTCCTGACTGATTTCTTGAAATGTTGCTTCAATATATCCACGTCATTTTCCTTCCTCATGATACCATCTATTTTGTGAAGTGCACCAGTCCCTCCTGCAGCAAAGCACCCCCACAGCATGATGCTGCCGCCCCCGTGCTTCACGGTTGGGATGGTGTTCTTCGGCTTGCAAGCATACCCCTTTTTCCTCCAAACATAACAATGGTCATTATGGCCAAACAGTTCTATTTTTGTTTCATCAGACCAGAGGACATTTCTCCAAAAAGTACGATCTTTGTCCCCATGTGCAGTTGCAAACCGTAGTCTGCCTTTTTAATGGCGGCTTTGGAGCAGTGACTTCTTCCTTGCTGAGCGGCATTTCAGGTTATGTCAATATAGGACTCGTTTTACTGTGGATATAGGTACTTTTGTACCTGTTTCCCCCAGCATCTTCACAAGGTCCTTTGCTGTTGTTCTGGGATTGATTTGCACTTTTCGCACACCAAAGTACGTTCATCTCTAGGAGACCTAACGCGTCTTCTTCCTGTGCGGTATGATGGCTGCGTGGTCCCATGGTGTTTATACTTGCATACTATTGTTTGTACAGATGAACGTGGTACGTTCAGGAGTTTGGAAATTGCTCCCAAGTTTGAACCAGACTTGTGGAGATCTACAATTTCATTTCTGAGGTCTTGGATGATTTCTTTTGATTTTCCCATGATGTCAAGCAAAGAGGCACTGAGTTTGAAGGTAGGCCTTGAAATACATCCACAGGTACACCTCCAATTGACTCAAATGATGTCAATTAGCCTATCAGAAGCTTCTAAAGCCATGACAACATTTTCTGGAATTTTCCAAGCTGTTTAAAGGCACAGTCAACTTAGTGTACGTAAACTTCTGACCCACTGGAATTGTGATACAGTGAATTATAAGTGAAATAATCTGTCTGTAAACAATTGTTGGAAAAATTACTTGTGTCATGCACAAAGTAGATGTCCTAACCGACTTGCCAAAACTATAGTTTGTTAACAAGAAATTTGTGGAGTGGTTGAAAAACAAGTTTTAATGACTCCAACCTAAGTGTATGTAAACTTCCGACTTCAACTGTATGATCAGATTCATTATCACAAGAGTATAATGTATGTCTTGCGTACAATGGAATATCTGATGACTTACCTTGTGACGATCCTTTGCTGCCATTAACCTACAAGTCAAAATGGTATGGTTATTGTGCTGTTATTGCGGCTCAAAGTTATTGTGGAAGGATGTCACAAACTACATGGTTAAAATATGAAATTATACCCACAACCAGATCCACCACCAAAACCACCAAATAATCAACAATAAAACAGCTTTACATCCTATACACACACAACAGGTATAGTTGTTTTGTTTCAGTCAAGATGGCCATTCAAAAACGTCTGATAATTAAAAGAGACTTTTCGTTATTGGAGAGAGATTTGTAATTAATTTGGGTTTTAAAACATCGCTGACAGCCTTGCACACACCAGTTAAACATAGAATGAGGACAGGGATGGCGAGAGGTAGTAAGAAACTCAGTTTAATGTTCTTATTTTGGTTGGTCACCTTGAATCACAGGAGTTAGCCTTAACATTTTAGCGCTGTAAAGCTAAAAAAACAACAGATAAAACCACATGCAACAGCAACATGCCGGGGGTAGAGACCTTCCACCACGCCACACCAGGGCTCAGAGTTAAAGGAACAGGAACACTCAAGGGGAAAAAAGCTCTAGATTTCCCCTGGATTTTTACACCGTCAGCATAAAGCAGGCTGAAGATTCTAAAGAGTTTGAATTCATAGATTCTGAAATTGATGTATTGAAGTCAATGTGACTAGACAGTGTGGTTGTGACTGTATGATGTCACATATGACCTTATGACCTGCGGAGGAGCAGGAGCCAGCTTTATGCTGTCGTGAGGACCACCACAAACCCAGGAAACACTGAGGGAGACACAGCACGGCTGCAGACAGGAGGGGAGGGGAGGGGAGGGAGGGGCTGCCTGTTAGGGGTAAGAGCCCACGGACTTACATGCGCCGCCACACTCAAAGAGCCTTAAAAGGGCTCAAACACAAACTTACTGGTGTTTTGCAGAACGGTCTGGGACGGACCGGAAAAACTGTCTTTAAGATTCAGAGGAAAATTATGACATCAGACTAGCATTGATGATGACATCATTGACGACATCTGGATATCCAATGAAAGCGAGTTCTTCATGTGTTGACATTAGATCATCACTGGAGACAAACTACCATTCATTTTGTTCTGTTTTGTTTGTCTCCAGTGGGTCTTATTGCTATTATATGAACGTTGCTATTAAATCAAAGGACCAATCCCCTCCACAGCGCATACTAATTATAGTAGAGAAACAGCAATGACATCAATGTGTACTAATACAGCAATGACATCAATGTGCACTTATACAGGCATACTGTACTTACTCCGTTGAGTCCTGTTACTGGTCCTGGGGGACCGGGAGGGCCAGGAGGGCCAGGAAGTCCCTACAAACACAATCACACAGATCAATCAATCACAGTCAATGACACCTCACTTTTCTGTCAGTTAGTTAGTTGATTGTACTGTAATCGCATAAAATCATCTTTCAAGATGGCAATTCTTACTGGTTGACCAATGGCATCTCCCTGGTCTCCCTTCTTCCCTGCCATTCCAGGTCTCCCCTGTGGAGGTAAGAAGGCCAACACTTAGACAGGGAAAAATACAGTGACTCATCTTTTACTCAACCAAAATAAAACAGCAGAGGGTTGAGAAAAAGCACTGACCGGTCGACCAGGGAACCCGTATTCTCCCTTTTGTCCAGTTGGTCCAATTGGTCCCTGAGAAAGAACATGGTTTTCTATCATTTCACTTTCACCCACTAGACAGTAGATACATTTACATTTTAGTCATTTTGCAGACGCTCTTATCCAGAGCGACTTACAGTTAGTGCATACATAATTTTTTCATACTGCCCCCCCGTGGGAATCGAACCCACAACCCTGGCGTTGCAAATGTCATGCTCTACCAACTGAGCTACATCCCTGCCGGCCATTCCCTCCCCTACCCTGGACGACGCTGGGCCAATTGTGCGCCGCCCCATGGGTCTCCCGGTCACGGCCGGCTACGACAGAGCCTGGATTCAAACCAGGCAATCTAGTGGCACAGCTAGCACTGCGATGCAGTGCCTTAGACCACTGCGCCACTCGGGAGGTCTTTAGATGTTTAGATGTTTACAGTTGTTATAGATAACGATATGTATAGCAAATACAAGTGTACGTTTTATAGAGCATTATTTTATGCTTTTACAAGGCATCATTTACTTACCATGACACCATAAGCTCCAGGGAAGCCACGCTCACCCTTTGAAAAGCACATAGACATGGTCAGAGCACTGAATCATCAGAAAACCACTACCATACAGTGACGATTGACCCTAGAGGTAGAGAGAGGAGTCACCTTGATTCCTTTTGGCCCCTGTGGGCCCCTGACACTTGTCAACACAGTCCCGTCGGCAGCGATAGTGACACCAGCTTCCCCTTTCGCACCCTATGAGGAAGAAAGACATAGTAGACATAGACATGATCATCAGGTCTTGGTTAGGTTGTTAAAGTCCTATCTGGATCTGATGTAAGATCCATAAAGTAGTAATTATCTGGCATGGAGGGGCAGTAAACATTAACAGAGCCTCCTCTGATCCTTACCTTCATTCCTGGTGAACCATGAAGACCAGGAAGCCCAATGTCACCCTTTGGTCCTCTTGGGCCCTGGGCAAAGACCACAATAATAATTATGGACAGAGAAGATAAGCGTATTAGAGCATATTTACTTATAGTAGGTGAGTCAAAATATATGTTTTATTCAGAACTACAGACTCTTCTCATTATGATAAGGAACCTACCCAATTCCTTCCCATGTCAGCAAAGACTAAATTAAATCAGCATGGTATTTACAGTAGTACATAAATATAAAACGCATCCTGCATGTTATACATGGGGTTGGGTCGTTCCACCAATTCGGTGCCTTTTGAGAAGTGTAACTTGGTTAGAAAAAAACATGTTTTATTTCACCTAATTTTAACATTCTGTCATAAAGAACAAGTCTAACTTCATAAAAAACATGTTTTCCCATCTTAAGAGGTTAATACAAAATTATACTATATTAAGTGCCTATTAAGTGCCGAATAAAGTAAGTGTTGACCGTAACATGGTTGACCGTAACAGGAGTGACGATTTCTTCTTAAATCAGCCATAAATTCTGTTGTGTGCAACAGGGAGTGGCAATTGAATGCAAGCTTCACCCAAAAAATGCAATTGTTAAAACATTTCTAGTCTGTCTATCTATGGGTAACAGGGTTGACTTGTTATGCTCGACCCGCTCAGTTCTCCACCACAAAACACCAGAAAATTGCCAAAAAGGGTAGAACTAGCTCACCTGCTTTTACGCTATGATTTGAATATTAGATGTTCAATGTTTCTTTTTTATTGTTATTTTTTTTTTAAGGAATAGTTTCACCATATTACGAGTTCAGTTCACGTAACAGCTTTGACCTTAAAATGAGGGACAGACATACTGTAAATGAATCACTAATCACTTCAAATAAATAATAATCTTCAGAAATGACTTTGTCAAAGCAACAAAATAACTAGGGCTTTACAATGGTGAAACTTGGAGACATTTTGGGATTAAGTGGGTTAACATCTTCCTAGAAGTGACACAGTGTTGATGGAGGGACATGTCAAAATGTTGAATATTGGCACTTTAGCAAGCCTTTATTCATATCAGAAATCTGATTTATTGAATTCTCCATGTGGTCTATATTAAACGGCACAGACTTTTTAAAATGCAATATTAGTGCACAATTTTTACTTAAAATATCAAACAAAGGGCACTCTTTTCGTGGAACAACCCAGTAATTACATATTAAGTATGGAGTTGCTCTTACAGGGAATCCTGCTCTGCCAGGCTCGCCTTCAGGGCCCTGTGACATGCAGCAAAACACACACAGGCAGGTAGCAGGACTGGGTTAGCATAGCTGTCAATCACATGCAATAATAAAGTAGCATGCAGTGTCTTTGCAGCATTTACTAGCATGATAACATCCATCTCACAGAATACAGTACAAACATTTCCAAGGCTGTAATGTAAGAACAAGCTTTTAAACCTGATAACATCATGGTTGAGTGTAAGTGTATACATTATGTAAGTAGGTGAAGCATATGCATTGTATACGTAACCTGTATTATGGATCAAGTATGCATTATGGTTGCGTTAATGGTTGGTTAGGTTGACCCTTAGCTGAGCCTACGAGTATCTTAGTAAACACGCATTGCAATTGAAAACAGGCCATTCTAGCTTCACACATGACAGATGTGAATGAATAATTGCTCATGCATGAAATAGCAATAAATGCAAACTGCCCTGAAGCATATTGATATGTGCCATGCTCCAGCATCCAGACCATTTAATGTAAAGCATAATGGATATTACCATTTAAATGTAATGGGCTAGTTTCAGAAATACACCAAATGAACATTGTGCTACTCACCATTGGGCCAGGCGGCCCACGGATCTCAGTGATGTTAAACATGCCCTCTGTATTGTTCACGAGGAGCTGAGGATAAACATATGACATATTGATTACAGTAGCAAATCTACTGTAGCTAAACTAGCTATACACTTTACATACTGTACAAACTATGAATATATGAATACTGATGAAGGTAATAACCCTTAATAAACCACAATAGCTCTATTCCTGTTCAATGTGTGTGTGTTATTTGTGAAACAGTACTCAGACAGGAGATGAGAGGTGTGTGGAGTGGACGTACATCCTGCAGATTGATGATTGGTCCTGGAGGGCCGGGAGGACCAGGAGGACCAGGTAAACTGTGTCCATCAGGACCACACTCCCCCTGGAAGACACAGAACACAGGACAGTTAGGACAAAGAACCCCCATGAACTCTACAAGCCATTTGAATGATACAACATTATAGACCATCTTTGGTTGTAACAGGCTTTGATACAACCACAAGTATTATATGATGAACAGTAGAAGATGGTAGAAGAAAAGCCCACATCAGGGTTAGTTTGGAGTCGTTCTGCTGTCTAACATACCTTTGGTCCTGGATCGCCTTTGTCTCCTTTCAATCCCTACAGAGACAAGCACACACAACACAGTGAAACATAGTAGCCAGGTAGTAGTTGAGGTTTAGCTAGCTACAAACTTTAAATTCATGGTTACTGCAGATGAGAGATGCAATGCTTTCTGGTTCAATACTGACCCTCACGCCTGGTAACCCAGCTAGCCCTTGGAGTCCCTCAGGTCCATAAGCACCAGGCTCACCCTGAAAAGAGACAGAACAAAGGTGAAGACACAACCACCAATGTCCACTAATAATATTGTAGAAGGTGGTGTAAGAGAGATGCAACCAACCTTCACTGACAACCCAGGAGCCCCATCCTTCCCATCTTCACCCTGTAGAAAACAGACAGGATATACAACTGATCAGATTTCCATGTGAACCTAGTTTTTTCCACAGGCTAGTTATTTTCCTTGTTTGTAATCCTACCTTTGGTCCTGCAGGGCCAGGGAGACCAGGAGTTCCCTACAGAAGAGAGTAGATAACAACAGTTATTCTCATTGAAACTCAAGGAGAAATACAATATAAAAGTACTTCAAAACTACAGGAGATACACACATATACCACTCTCAATCACCTGAGGGCCTTTGAGTCCTGCGCCAAGGACCATGTCATTCTTCCCAGACCCCTCCACGTCCTGCAAGCACCAACACACAACATTGTTGCATTCAGAATCAATAGAGACAAAACAAGACAACAGTATGATGGGAAACTGACTCAACAGTAAAATCAACAAAACAATACCTCGACAAAGAATCCTCCTCCTGGGGGTCCGGGGGGACCAGGCAGCCCACGAGGTCCAGGGTCGCCCCTCTTCCCCTCTGGTCCCCTCGGTCCTGTAGCTCCTACCAACCCTGGGTCACCTGATTCACCCTGCGAGGAAGAATAAACCCATTTAACTGACTATGAAGAACAAAGTATAGTTTTGACTTAAAATGACAAAGCCTAAAGTAGATGTTTCTGCATGTCAGCAGCATGGTTAGAAACATAGGTCTCATTGTTTGATTAAAGCATTTTATAATTGATAACTGTTGTCAGATGGTTAGAAATACCATTGGTCCGTTTAGTCCAGCTAGTCCTTGTTCACCCTATGTGAGGAAGACAGATAGGTTAGAGTAAACATTTGCAATGGAAATGGTAATAGGGGATCTAGCCAGCTAATTTCCCTTGTAAAGTACAAACAATAGCCTCCTAAGTTACTGTCATCTTACCTTCAGACCTTTAGGCCCTGTCGGCCCACCATCCCCATTCAGACCAGGTTGACCCTGAAATCAACAGCAGAGAGATGTGATGTCACAACCGTCGCTCTCTGAATCTCCTACACATACAGGTCACACAAGTGACTAGTTAACCATGACCAAGACTGTCTTGCTTTCCTTAGTGTCATAGTAGCTACCATATATACCATTGCAAAGAGAACTTCCAAGTCATTTAAAAGGTTTCTCATCATAATTACTCATGATGAGATTGTTTTTTAAACTTTAATTCCACATAATTAGTTACTTTCCATCATAAAATATTATATTCCTCTGTCTAAATAGTTTCAACAAACATTTTAATAAATCTTAGCCAGCCGGTGCCACCATTTTCCCTTTTGCCATTCCTGAAGGAACAACATGGCTCATCAACTGTAAAACATAAAGGGCAAGCTCCATAAATGCAGTTAGTGAAAGCACACACGCAACAGACTTATATTAAAAGGAAAGTTCTCTCCAATGTAGCTGGACCATGTTTGATGTATGAAGCACATAGCTCAAGCTTAATGTCCATCAAGGCAGTTGAAGTCAAACCTGGGTTGTTTCCCATTTAATGAGAGGATGTCAAACCTGGGTTACTTCCCATTTAATGAGAGGATGGGGACAAGCATAGACCCCTGATGGTTTCATAGATGGGTAAACAACTCAAAGCAGAAGAACAATGGGCAATAAGCACACACACACACACACGTGCAAACACACACACAAACACACACACCTCACGTACAGTAAGTTCAATGAGCCAGGCTGTTAGAAAACATGGTTGGAGAGAACAGTCTGCCTTTTCAAGCCTACTGGTTCAGTGAAGGAACCAGGGCAATACCTCGCCAGAACCAAGCCCAGAGCCGAACAACCCTGAGCCAAACTCAGAGCCAAACGCAGAGCCCGAGCCAGAACCACTAAACCAATCCTCAATCACCTGAAACAATAAAGGCCAGTGACAGCCAGGTCAATAACAGAGAGTAGAGAGGAAACCACTGTCAGCTACAATGCATGCATACACATATAGAGTATAAAATAACATTTCCAATACAAAACAAAAGTGGGAACATCAATAACAGTTGGTAACAGGTGGAAACATCCATAATGGATCTTAATAAAGATAATGTGGGATAGAGAGAGAACTCACTGGAGGTCCAGGTTTCCCAACAAGGCCGTCTCTGCCAGGTGGGCCCGGAGGACCTGGCTGTCCAGGGAATAAGCCCTCGGAGGCGTTGAAGTAACTGGTGGGACCAGGGGGGCCAGGTTGACCTGGAGGGCCGGGAGGACCAGGGGGACCCTAGGAGAGAGAGGACTCCTCACTGTAAATTCATCACGTCATTCTAGTGGAGTTGTCTCAACTCTAGGTGATCAGATGAAACACCACCACCACATGTTTAACATCAAGTGGTGAATACTCTTAGCCTCGTACTACCAGTCTGATCTCGCAAGCTTACGCAAATATATGATTCCGTGTAGCAAAACATTTTTATGAAAGCTTGCGAGATCAGGCTGGTAATACGAGGCTAAAATACTCCTCCTAGAGACATTTTATTAGAGAAAAAAACATAACAGATAGACTGACAGCAGAATGACAGATTAGAAGAATGTTCTTACTCGGATCAATTCTGTATCGTCAAGGTCCCCAAAGCCAGAGCCGAGTGCATCCTCTCCATACTGCAATTCAAAGGAAAACAGGCAATTAAACACAAATCCCCATTTGATCCCCAGTTCAATCCGATGTTTCCAGGATGTTACACTGACACCCACCGGTACACTGTGTGATTTGAGAGGTCCGGGAGGTCCGGGGGGGCCTGGAGGCCCCGGTAAGCCTGCTCCTGGGTCCCCCTGTACAGAAGAGAATACAGGGTAAGACTAACTGCCTATCTCACACACATTCAATATCTTTCTTTTTATTTTTGTACCTTATCTCCTTTGACTCCAACCTCTCCTGCCAAACCTGGGAATCCCTGGGGTCCTCTTTGTCCCTGTGGGGATTAACATAGATTAGGTCATATTTAAAGACATACAGTATTTTCTATAATAACATAACAAAACAGTATACATTTGACACAAGACCAGATTTACTCACTGGGTCTCCATCTTCACCCTTGCTTCCCTGAAAAATGAGAACACTCCTTTATTTATCCTATCTGTTCAGTCTTGTCAAGTGAAGTGAAGGTAATATAAAACATAATCAAACATGTACTACTATCACAGAGTAATGGGAGATTATAATGAAGTAAAGCTCACTGGCTGTCCGTCCTTCCCTGGCACTCCAGGGGCCCCTGTTGGCCCTGAAGGCCCCTGAGGGCCCCTGGGTCCTGGCTGGCTGTGTCCAGACCTATCCTCAGAGGGAGTGGAAGGGCCAGGGGGGCCACGGGGGCCAGCAGGACCCATAGGCCCAGGCTCTCCTTGCTCTCCTTTCTGTCTGTGGCTAAGAGGGTTGCCCTGAGGATCAGCAGAAGAACATTGTGTAAGATGTATTAGATACTGAATAACGTAATACTGAATAACTTAAGCTGAATAACTTAAGCATTTAAAGCAGGTTTTGAGGCATGTTACGTATAAGTCATCTGAGCTATTACTTACATCCCCTGACCTCTCCCCTGGCTCCTCTGTCTGGTGGGATCCTGAGAGAGGAAAAATAGACACCAATAGGATTAACCAATGAGGCTTCAATAATGCTAACCATTGAGGGATATATGATGTATTCAAACAACAAGATTAGCCAATGAGAGACAGATAAGATTGATCAATAAAAAGGGAAAATCTAATAACAATTTACATAGTCACCGGGTGAGTTAAATCAAGCTCGCCTATCAAGTTATTTGAAAGTGCCTTGTAATGCCATGATATGATTGGTTAAGATAAGAGTATGGTGAACCTGCCTTCTCCACCTTTGAGCAGCATCTCCTGATGGGCCTTGTCTGTGGGGGTCAGGTGACCTGAGTACTCATCCAGCTCCACCTCCGGAGACTCTGTGGGCAGGGCTCGCACCAGCCCGCTTAGCATGTCCTTTGGCTGGAGGGGGAAAAATGTAGGGAGGAAGAGAGATAGATAAAGAGAGTGAATGCAAAAAAATTGTAAAAAGAGAGAGAGGGGGGTGGGGGGTTGGAGGGAGGGAAGCAGGAACGAAGAGTAAGTAAACTAGTAAAGCAATGTCCAATTTATTTGAAATATTGAGGAGTAACACAGAAAATATCTAGCTAATTAAAACAAACTTCAAATAAGAACAGACAACTTATGTTATATGTTTATTTGTAGTAATTGGGGTCAGGGCAGATTGTGGGTTGTTAAGGGGAAGTACAGTGTGTTACAAGGCTAGTGATAGGAGGATGAAAGTGAATGTAGCATACACACAGCCAGAATCTGGGGCAATCCCACAATGGAAGAGAAACAGACAACAAAAAAGGGGTGTTCACTGGGTACACGAGTGCAGCACTGTATCTGTGTTTGCTTCCTCTTGACAAGGATGTGGGGGTTGGCCACACTTTCCTGATAAAGAACCACTGCTACCCATAGCCATAACAGACACATCAAAGGCCAGTGTAGAGACGTATCTCTGCGTAGAGAGATAGAGGTACTGAATCTCCCTAATGGAATATATCCCCCAGTGTTCACTTTTACATACTTGTGTTTTGTACCAGTACAAATGTCTGACTGACAAACTGATGAAACAGAAAATATGTTTCGCTACATGTCAAAGGCTTATGTAAGAGACTTCCAATTAAGTCTGTCAGAGAGTGTTGCTCAGACAACAATGTGCTTTGTGTCCAAGTCAATCTTAGTTGTGCAGAAGTTTTTTCTCTCACCAATGCTCACCCAGCGTCCGTTGACATTCTCTTTCACTGAACACATTCATCTCTTACACCCCATGCTAACACCTTCCACTTTTACTCACCTGTGCTGTTTCCTTTTTTCGTTCCATGTTCTTCATCAACTCGTCCTCTGTTTCACGGTCATCCAACGTGTCATCCCCACTCCCATCCCCAGAAGCCTGGAATACAGGAGACATTACCACACATCTCTATTCAAAGAAGAGATTGACACCAGTGACCTAGAAGTAGCATTTCTCTCACTAACCACTAGAGAGAACTAACTCTTCATTCCATAATTTGCAGCTTTGTACATTCAAATGTTGTTACATGGTGAGTGATGTGTGAGAGCCAGTGAAGCGATCAACCAGTAAACAGTATTTCATATTTTAAACACTAGAGGGAGCCACCAGTATGCTCTATGCAGAGTCAAGTCATGCATAAATAAGTCTTGCGACCCAGACGCTCAACACGTATTCAAGAATCTGTGCTGGCAGGGCCTTTAGAATGTCAGGAGCTCAAGGCTATGGATTAATACATATCTATGGAACAGGCTGTTGTGTAGACACTTACATAGGGATCATCCTCTTCACACTGCTCCTCTGCAGCCCTGGGGTCTGGCTTGATCACCAGCTGCTGGATAGAGCCCTGTACAGAGGGAGAGAAAGAGAGATATGTGATAATGCTTTGGTGATGTATAATATGGAGTTATTGTGCTGATATAGCTAATTTCATTGGCTAAATTGAGAGAGAGAGAGAGAGAGAGAGAGAGAGAGAGAGAGAGAGAGAGAGAGAGAGAGAGAGAGAGAGAGAGAGAGAGAGAGAGAGAGAGAGAGAGAGAGAGAGAGAGAGAGAGAGAGAGAGAGAGAGAGAAGCAAAAAGAGTCACACAGCAGGAACGTTTATTCTGAAGGCTTTCCTTAACAGGTAGAAAATGCTGACTTTTAGAGGCAAGAGGCCCTTTCTACAGGCATCACATGGTTAAACACCTTCTAATCTGTGAGCAGTATTTGATAGGGACGGGCCTCGGCACACTCATTAACTTTCATTGTCACAAGCATCCCTTCCACCTTCCGCGTGATAAACCTAAAGCGTGTAATGTGCAACACGATGACATCATTGGAGGACATTATAGAGAATGCCACTGATCATGAAAGAGTGTGGCAACAAAAACATTGGCTAAGGCCCCTGAACTAGAAGCCAACAGGATGACTGGATTAACATCAAGTACAGTAGCAGATTCTGATCTGGGATCAGTGTAATGTAAAATACAGAGTACAGAACACAGCAAACTACTGACTGAAACACATTTACCGTGAAATCATAAAATCAGACTAAAGGAGAAACACAGACAGAACACAAGTCCAAAGATAAAAAGACAGATAGAGGGAGAGAGTGAAACGAATCAAGGCTGCATCAGAACAAAACCCAGAGCTTTGTCCAGGCTGGTTTTGAAGGGCGAGAGCCATCTCTTGGCACGGTGTTTGGCCCAGCAGTATTGTATCTCCCAGCATGACAGTCCACTGTGTTCTGTTGGATCTCTTCCCCCCTTATTCTCCCCCCTTCACTCACCCCTCTACCGATCTCCCATCTCCCTCCTCTCTCCACCTCCCTGCTTCTCTCCTATTCCACCTCCCTCCCCCTTCTTCCCCCTCCTCTCACCCCCCCTCCTCCCTCCCTCTCTCCCCCTCTCTGCCTCCTCTCCTCTTCCTCTCTCTCCCCCCATATTTCCCCCTCTCCTCCCTCCCTCTCTGGCCCCTGTGCTCTGACTGACTGACTGACACTGTCTTTACCACTCCTGGCGCTCTCAGGCCCCTGGCCGGCACCAAATTGCCTCACAACAACAAAAGGAAAAGCTGCCCACTTTGCTGCCGTCACCATGGAAACCACTTTCCCAAACACACATCACTACCACCACAACTCTTAAGGCGCAGCAGCATGCTAATAAAGAACATTGCAGGACGGTTCATTTGGAGGCATGGAGAATAAAGTCCCATACACATTCACTTCATTATCATCAGTGTTTGTTTGACCATATTGAAGTGGCCAGGCTTTAGGGGAAGTTTTGCTCTTATTGGACTTAAATGATAACCAACAAAATGATTGATATTAATATTTTAATTGATTATATTGAAACAGCTGAACAGTTCTCTCCATAGATAATCTATATGAAATACCTCAATGGTCTCACTCTCTGTAACTTCACTGGAAGACAGTCAATGTGGGGTAGAAGGGGAAGACACCGTTTTGGCTAGACCAAACTACTATCTCCCTCTTACTTCTTCAGTCAGTGAACCTTAGAGTCTCTCCTCTCAGAGAAGAGAAGACTGGAACAGAGACCACAGGATACATAAACGTGAGGCCTTGAGCTGAGCTGACCATGCAGAGAGGTGGTTCTGTTTATTAAACAAGGCTTACTGATATCTCTCCCTTCCTCTCCGAGAGACCGCCAAGACCTCCCGTTAGCCTTGAATCAGGTCTGTGTCCTATCGATGGCTGTCAAATACCAGGATGTTTGGAGCTGAGCTATACAATCTTATATGAGCTGATTCTGAAAAACTGTGATCAAGTGACTATAATCCATGACTTGAGCACATTCATACACTAATCACTATACATTATATAGCTAAACATTATTGTTAAAATACGATATTGTATGCTAGACAAATGGTGCACAGCCAGTTGGAAGAAGTCCCAGCTGTGGAGCTTTTAGTACAGTTGTTAAGAATTCAACACAGATGACCTTTGAGTTTTTTATCATGTTATTGGAGTAATGTTCATGCTAACACAGACTAGGAAAACATACAGTAGGACTCACACTACACAGTGCAAGGAATGTGATTACACACACACACACACACACACACACACACACACACTGCAACATTGTCAAATGAAACAGAAGATAATATAATAATAATATGCCATTTAGCAGACGCTTTTATCCAAAGCTACTTACAGTCATGCGTGCATATTTTTTGTGTGTATGGGTGGTCCCGGGGATTGAACCCACTACCTTGGCGTTACAAGCGCCGTGCTCTACCAGCTGAGCTATAGAGGACCTACATAAGTGGTAGACATTACTTACCACAAACCTCTCCAGGCCAGTTCCTCCAGCGTTGCCCACAAAGATGCCCGAGCTGGGTTCAAAGCTGAGCTGGCTTCTGCTCCTGTGGAGGGTCCCTGCGTGGAAGTCATCACAGTCCATATAGAGGCGCACCTCCTGGTCTAGCACCGACAGAGTGAAGCGCGTCCACTTATTCGTCATATCAGGCAACTTGAAGGACGCCACCTGCTGGCTGTGTGAAGACCCCTGCCCCCCCTCGGTGTAGTACAGCTGAATCCTCTGGGTCTCGTCCTCCACGGGCGTCAGTGCCAACCCCAGCTGCACCACCTTCTGCTGCGCATCAGTGATGGCGAACAGCACCCCTCCCTGTTTGCTGCTGGGCCTGATGGTGACGATGATGGCAAAGTCCCTGAAGAAAGGGTCGGGCATGAAGGTCTTGGTGAGACGTCCGATGTTGGCGTCAGGCCCGAAGCTGTAGGCCGGGAAGCCCTCATAGCCGGTGATGAAGGAGACAGAGGGAGGGAGCGGCACTCCGATCAACTCGGTCAGGTCTAGGTGGCCTGTAGAGCCACGCTCTGTAAGGAAACAACAGATTCATGAGATCTAAACAAAATGTGCAGAATCACATGTATGAGCCGAAAGCTGTATAGAAAACTCTGTGGATACAGTGGCTTAAGAAAGTATTCACCCCACTTCGCATTTTTACTATTTTGTCGCCTTACAACCTGGAATTAAAATGGATTTGTATATTTTTTATTGTGAAACAAACAAGAAATAAGACAAAAAAACTGAAAACTTGAGCGTGCATAACTATTCACCCCCCCCCCCCCCCCCCCCCCCCCCCCCAAAGTCAATACTTTGTAGAGCCACCTTTTGCAGCAATTACAGCTGCAAGTCTCTTGGGGTATGTCTCTATAAGCTTGGCACATCTAGCTACTGGGATTTTTGCCCATTCTTTAAGGCAAAACTGCTCCAGCTCCTTCAAGTTGGATGGGTTCCGCTGGTGTACCACAGATTCTCAATTGGGTTGAGGTCTGGGCTTTGACTAGGCCATTCCAAGACATTTAAATGTTTCCCCTTAAATCACTCAGGTGTTGCTTTAGCAGTATGCTTAGGGTCATTGTCCTGCTGAAAGGTGAACCTCTGTCCCAGTCTCAAATCTCTGGAAGACTGAAATAGGTTCCCTCAAGAATTTCCCTGTATTTAGCACCATCCATCATTCCTTCCATTCTGACCAGTTTCCTAGTCCCTGCCGATGGTGTTCTTTCTTTAAGCAATGGCTTTTTTCTGGCCACTCTTCCGTAAAGCCCAGCTCTGTGGATTGTACGGCTTAAAGTGGTCCTATGGACAGATACTCCAATCTCCGCTGTGGAGCTTTGCAGCTCCTTCAGGGTTATCTTTGGTCTCTTTGTTGCCTCTCTGATTAATGCCCTCCTTGCCTGGTCCATTAGTTTTTTTCATTTCACTTCACCAATTTGGACTATTTTCAATGTCATGAAATCCAAATAAAATCCAAATAAAAATCCATTTAAATTAGGTTGTAATGCAACAAAATAGGAAAAATGCCAAGGGGGATGAATACTTTTGCAAGGCACTGTAAAGGGTTCAGCATTGCATAACTGTACAAAGATAACATCCAATGCTCTCATCAAGATATGTCACCATACGTCATGAAGATATGGCATTTCACCACTGAACATTTATGGATATCCTCCAATGTAACAAATCAATTAGCGGATATACTTATGTGCTATCACCTGACCGTGACTATCATCACAATCACTATTACATCATTGTTTGCATGTGAACACAAACAGCGTAAGCACAGCTGTACAGGATATCTCATCCTGCGGTAACTGATGACACTTACGAACCCCTAATGAGTTAGACGTTCACCTATGGATCATTGCTCTCCCTCTTCTTCCCCTTCCCCTCTTCAGACCCTAATCCCCCCCAAAATAACTCCAAGGTGAAAAGCCTTTCATTGGTGTTGGGGGGCCTATCATCGTGGCGTAGGGAGAGTGCTTAGCGGAGAAAGATCGATCACATTCTCTCCATTCTCCCCCACATGGAGCTCATCTCCCGTGGCGACCACTCTCACCCCAACATTCCACTGAGGTAACCTCTTGGCCGTTAGTTTTACCTCAGTCTTGTCAAGTATTAACCCTCCTCTACACATCAGTTGGCCTCTGATCTCCACTCCTAGGCTAGACAGGGTCTCTGATTGGGTCTGTAATTCATCAAATTAGCGATGTGGAAAAATACATGACAATTAGGGAGGAGGGTCGTAGTGTTTGAACATCCCTCCCACAACATGCAGCCTCACACAAACACTGACTCACACAACCCAGACTGCCACAGACAAGCCAATCAATAAGTGGGATCAGAGAGAGAGAGATCCATTAGAAGTTCATGTCTAACATATATCTAAACATGCAAATCCGATGTCCTCAATGAGGACCCTGCCTGTTTTAGCATATCAACACAGTAATGCTAATAACATACAGGTGAATGGTGTGAACCTGTGTAAAGGTATTTAAGTAGGTTGTCATACTGAATGAGCAGACATCTGGGAGCTTGCAGAGTGTGGACACAACTGTGCCCTCTTTGACTCATGATTTTCTTGGAGTCTACTGGATGATTATTTAGCGCCCAATTCTTCTAGTCAGTTAAGACATCAGACATATAGTATGTTGGTAATTGATTTCCCTATAACTGCTGCACCATCCATCTCAATGATGAACATGTTGTATCTCTCCTCTCATCTCCAGCCTCTTGATCTCAGTCCTCCCTCCCATCCCTCACCCATCCGTCCCTGATTCCCCCTTTCTCTGAACCCACAACCCAGCCCAGCACAGCGGGAGGCTCTGAAACAATGCTCACGCTCAGACCCCAATTTCCCCAGGTTCCAGGAAGGCTCCTGGCCCTAATCCTATTATTATTATATCATGTGATAGGGATTAACATTGGAAACCAAGGGGCTAGCAGGAAACCACAAGCCTGCTCCCCTTGACAACTCACAGCCTCAATTAGACAAGTTTAAAAAGCGTAGCCACACTCAGTAAGCTTTGCCAGGCTGTGGGGGAACACGCTAACTAATCCCTGTCATGATCCCACTACAAGTATCAGCTTGAGACCATTTTAACAAAAATAATGAACGACCATGAGTCCACAGCTCCACAGCTGCCACATGTCAGGGTCTTCAGATTCCTTTAGGAAAGAGTTTACAGAGCATTACAGTGAGGGGGAAAAGTATTTGATCCCCTGCTGAGACAGTGAGAGACAGAATAACAACAAAAAAATCCAGAAAAACGCATGTAAAAAATGTTATAAATTCATTTGCATTTTAATGAGGGAAATAAGTATTTGACCCCCTCTCAATCAGAAAGATTTCTGGCTCCCAGGTGTCTTTTATACAGGTAATGAGCTGAAATTAGGAGCACACTCTTAAAGGGAGTGCTCTTAATCTCAGCTTGTTACCTGTATAAAAGACACCTGTCCACAGAAGCAATCAATCAATCAGATTCCAAACTCTCCACCATGGCCAAGACCAAAGAGCTCTCCAAGGATGTCAGGGACAAGATTGTAGACCTACACAAGGCTGGAATGGGCTACAAGACCATCGCCAAGCAGCTTGGTGAGAAGGTGACAACAGTTGGTGCGATTATTCGCAAATGGAAGAAACATAAAAGAACTGTCAATCTCCCTCGGCCTGGGGCTCCATGTAAGATCTCACCTCGTGGAGTTGCAATGATCATGAGAACCGTGAGGAATCAGCCCAGAACTACACGGGAGGATCTTGTCAATGATCTCAAGGCAGCTGGGACCATAGTCACCAAGAAAACAATTGGTAACACACTACGCCGTGAAGGACTGAAATCCTGCAGCGCCCGCAAGGTCCCCCTGCTCAAGAAAGCACATATACGTCTGAAGTTTGCCAATGAACATATGAATGATTCAGATGAGAACTGGGTGAAAGTGTTGTGGTCAGATGAGACCAAAATGGAGCTCTTTGGCATCAACTCAACTCGCCGTGTTTGGAGGACGAGGAATGCTGCCTATGACCCCAAGAACACCATCCCCACCGTCAAACATGGAGGTGGAAACATTATGCTTTGGGGGTGTTTTTCTGCTAAGGGGACAGGACAACTTCACCGCATCAAAGGGATGATGGACGGAGCCATGTACCGTCAAATCTTGGGTGAGAACCTCCTTCCCTCAGCCAGGGCATTGAAAATGGGTCGTGGATGGGTATTACAGCATGACATTGACCCAAAACACACGGCCAAGGCAACAAAGGAGTGGCTCAAGAAGAAGCACAGAGTGGCCTAGCCAGTCTCCAGACCTTAATCCCATAGAAAATATGTGGAGGGAGCTGAAGTTTCGAGTTGCCAAACGTCAGCCTGAAAAATCCTTAATGACTTGGAGAAGATCTGCAAAGAGGAGTGGGACAAAATCCCTCCTGAGATGTGTGCAAACCTGGTGGCCAACTACAAGAAACGTCTGACCTCTGTGATTGCCAGCAAGGATTTTGCCACCAAGTACTAGGTCATGTTTTGCAGAGGGGTCAAATACTTATTTCCCTCATTAAAATGCAAATCAATTTATAACATTTTTGACATGCGTTTTTCTGGATTTTTTTGTTGTTATTCTGTCTCTCACTGTTCAAATAAACCTACCATTAAAATTATAGACTGATCATTTCTTTGTCAGTGGGCAAACGTACAAAGTCAGCAGGGGATCAAATACTTTTTTCCCTCACTGTATGCTAAATCGTTACTGAGAACTCACACAGCATTGGTTATCTTTCATTGAAAGTGCAAACAACTAAATGCAGAACTGATTGTTATTTTAACCACAACATAAAGACGACTTTTTTGGACAGAATCCCCCCACGGAAATAAAACTGAAACAACTACATCACCCAGCACACTCCAGGTGTTTCTCCACTCCTGCACAGTACAGACTAACTCACCACGACTCTTCCACATTTTCAGAGATCTTTTCTTAGCCTTGATCTCTGTGGTTCCAGCAGCAGCAGGCTCCTGTGTGCTCTGTAGCGGTGTATTCTGAACAGGTGCAGTGGTGAAGACCTCCGTCTGAGTCCCCACCTGGCTCACCTCTGTCCCTTCTGTGGTCCACAATACCTGGGTGGTGGTGGGGATGGTGGTGGGAGGCTGTGTGGTCGTCTCCTGTGCTTTCTCCAAGAACACACTCCACCACTGGCCATGAACAGGAGCCATGAACAGCAGCAGCAGACTGTAAAGACGCAGGACAGCCATCCTGTCCTGATGCTCCAACTACTGACTCAAAACTTCAACAAGATGTATGTTCTCAGCAGAACAGTTCAGCTCTCATGCTCCCCTCTCTTCCCTGCTTCTATCTATGTTATCTCTCTCACTTTATGCTCTCGCTCTCTCTCTCTCTCTCTCTCGCTCTCTCTCTCTCTCTGTGTGTATGTGTGTGTATGTGTGTGTGTGTGAGCCCCTATCCCTCCCTCCCTCTCTCTTTGTTTCTCTCTCTCTCTCTCTCTCTCTCTCTCTCTCTCTCTCTCTCTCTCTCTCTCTCTCTCCCCCCTCCTGGTCCTCCTCTCCCTCTGCTCTGCTCAGTGTCTAGCAGTGACCACTGCTCCAGACCCCCTCAGCACCACGCAGGCTTAGATATTTCACAGGCGGCACAGCAGAAGCCGCGGCAGCATCTCTACACTACGTCTGGCTCGCATCACAGTGGGTGTGTTAAGAGGATGTAAGGCCCAGCCGTAAGCCACAGCCCTCTTGAGTAATGCTATCCCCCTCCGTATACCACTATCACCAACTCTACTACAGTTTACTGAACATGCAGCAACTATCATATTTTTTTTGTGTATGGGTGGTCCTCTGTAGCTCAGCTGGTAGAGCACGGCGCTTGTAACACCAAGGTAGTGGGTTCGATCCCCGGGACCACCCATACACAAAAAAAAAATTATGCACGCATGACTGTAAGTCGCTTTGGATAAAAGCGTCTGCTAAATGGCATTATATTATATATTATCATTGGTCTTTGCTTGAATAACAAATTGTGGTCAGTTGGAAGAATGTTCAATAATGGGCACTGCGACATTGGCTAGGGTCCTGGATGAGATATTTCCTGCCTATAAGGACATGGTGAGCACTGCACACATTTTTTATTCCCCCAGGGACAGAAATCAGGACTACAAGATCTCAAAATAATTCTGTAAAAAAGGCACCACAAAGGAACACACAATTAAATGTAACATTAACGGTTTCTACAACATTTGGCGTTTAACATATTACCTATACTCAGTCAGTTGCATTCATGTCCATTAATAAACTCAATAGAAGTACATGTGTAGAGATACAGCAAATAGTACATTAGGACAGGGTCAGGAATCTGCCAATCAGTGGCTGTCTGACTTTGAGGGCCCATGGGCGGGCACTGATTAAACATGGGAGAGTGAAAAGCTGGACTGTGACAAAGGAGGGGAGGAGAAACATGGCATGGAGGAGAGGAGATGGGTTTCTGCCAAGCCTGCACAGCTCAGTGATCAGAGGGGCCGGGCAGAAAGACAGGCAGGCAGGCGTAGTGACAAAGAGAAGACTCTTCCGCTACTCAGTGCTCATGGCCCTGGTGTTGTGTGTTGAGGGGATGAGGATGGGGCCTAGGGACAGGTCCTGACAGCCCTGCCAGCAGCACACACACACGCACAAACACACACACACACGTACACGGAGAGGATGAGCCCACTCCGGACCAATCATTTATAAGTAACAGAGGAACACACTGTTCAGATACTGCGTCATTAACAGTAACAGTACCGATTAAAATGCACAGTAAGATTACCAATACACAATCATCCATTGAACACTAACTGTTACTGTGATGTGCGTGTTCGGATATTACGACCAGCACTTGGAATTGACTGTGCATTATTTTAGATGTGCAACAGTTCACAGCAATCCACAGTGGTGGTATGGATGGACTCCATACTAAAGAGACAGGACACTGGTGCTACAGTGGTCCTAATGAGATTTACTAGGAACGTTGGGACTGGATGTTTGCTAAATGGACCAGATGATGGATTTAGTGTAATTTGGAGAAAAGCAGGGAGGAAGGAAGGGAGCCCCAGTTAGCCTGCCCCTCCCTGTAAGGGGGTTCTAGGGATCCAAGTTACACCCCTCTCTAATCCCAGTCTTACCCAGGGGGACTAGAGGCCAGGGGGGCAGGGGGCTAGGAGGCCAGGGAACGTAACCACTAACCTCAATCTCAGTTCAATGTCCCCACAACATCCATTAATTGGTTTATTGTCGCAAGCCATCAGCTGGAGCATGTTGTGAATCTATTCTCACAGAGATGAGACTGTAATTTTCCAAAGGGAAACAGCACACAATACCTTTGACAATGTAGTACACTGTATCCAGTAACACCTACCACTTCGTCACATGTATAGAAGAGCTTTGGCCCAAAGTGATTTAAATGCCCTTTGCAATGAACAATGAGGACTGGTGCTATAAATATTGAGCACATATAAAGCCTAACTATAAAAAATGGGTTTGAATACCATTCAAATCTGTGATAAATTCCTGTCAATTTTACTACGCTGAAAGTGATGGAACCTCTTTGAAGCAGAAAATGTCTCTATGTGTTTAATATAATAATTAAGCTTTTTGGTAACTTTAATTTGTAACAGGTGTAAATGCATTCACCATAGACCCAGTCGGTATTAGATAGAACGTCCGACCCTGCCCCCTGTGGGGAAAACAACCTGTGGTTACCTAGGTTACCCCATTGGCTCAAAGCAAAAACGTCACATTTTTTTAACGCAATTTTCCTGTTGTCTGCTTGTTTTAGTAAATTACAAAACTACATTTAAGAAAAGTACAACATGTCTAAAGATTACTTCTCAACATTGCCTGCTCCCTAACGTTCTCACTACTTAGAGAATCGTAATATTGTAGGGCTTCCCTCATGCCCGAATAGCCTGAAGCCACAGGGCTCTTCTCGCAGGCTCTATTTCTATACGTGGGAGCATTGCGAACCGTAGGCCGGGATTTTTTACCTGTCTACATGTACATTGAACAACACAGCAGCTTTTCGACATGTTTTGTTATTTCTGTATGACTAAAACTCAACGACGATGTTGCCTCTTTTACAATGGGGGTCAATAGGAAAGATTGTTGGTTTCCACCAATTTATGGGCGTGGTCGAGGGAAATTCCTTCTTATTACATTAACACCGACTGGGACTATACCTCTATAGTTTACAGCACAGTCGTAAATTCAGTGTTTACGCTGTGAAGTTGTGATCTAATACAACTTACACCCCGGACCCATTCATAGACACACAGTGGTCCTCTAGCTCCACCATGTGGTCATATCTAGAATCACAGACATAACTTCATTCCCTTACGAAAACAGCCTTGTATACACAGTGTGTTGTCCCACATGGCACCCTATTCCCTCTATAGCACACTACTTTTAACTAAAGCCCTGGTCAACAGTATGCACTACACAAGGAAGAGGGTGCAATTTGGGATACACTCCACGACCAACCACAGCAGTCCCTGTCGCCTTAGATTGACCAATGTGATGTCACCAGGGGTCAGGTCTCACTAAAGAAAAGAGCCAACCTGACAGCCAACCTGACAGAGGCCAGGTCTCACTAATCAATTAGCAAAGCAAATTAGGCTTCACGGGTGAACAAAAACAGAGCTTTGCCACATTAAATCACCATCACTGGGAAGCTCTCTCATCAAGAGTCTGCCCCTCGAATGTTGTATCATTATTATGGGCAGCAGATCAAAAGCAATCTGGTTTTATTGGGGTGATTTAGTCAGACACATGGGCCCACATGCCTCTAGTTCAGTCTGGTTTCTTGTAGCCAAGTAATACAAACATTTCGATGTTCTATTCTTCTTTGAATATTATTTTCCTTGCTAAATAATCAATTTTTAGTATGCCAGCAGATGTTAGGTATTCAGGAGATCCTTTCTCCTGTAACTATTCTCACCAGTTGTTTACAGTGCATTCGGAAAGTATTCAGACCCCTTGACTTTTTCCCACATTTTGTTACGTTACAGCCTTATTCTAAAATGGATTTAATCATTTTTCCCCCTCATCAATCTACACACAATACCCCATAATGAGAAAGCGAAAACAGGTTTTTAGAATTTTTTGCACATTTATTAAAAATTAAAAACAGAAATAACTTATTTGAAATACTGAGGAAGCCACTCCTCAGTAAAAGGCACATGACAGCCCACTTGGAGTTTGCCAAAAGCACCTAAAGGACTCTGAGGAAACCTGGCACCATCCCTACGGTGAAGCATGGTGGTGGCAGCATCATGCTGTGGGGATGTTTTTCAGCGGCAAGGACTGGGAGACTAGTCAGGATCGAGGGAAAGCTGAACGGAGCAAAGTACAGAGAGATCCTTAATGAAAACCTGCTCCAGAGTGCTCAGGACCTCAGACTGGGGCGAAGGTTCACCTTCCAGCAGGACAACGACCCTAAGCACACAGCCAAGACAACGCAGGAGCGATTTCAGGAGAAGTCTCTGAATGTCCTTGAGTGGCCCGGACATGAACCTGATCGAACATCTCTGGAGACCTGAAAATAGCTGTGCAGCGACACTCCCCATCCAACCTGACAGAACATGAGAGGATCTGCAGAGAAGAATGGGAGAAACTCCCCAAATACAGTGCCACGCTTGTAGTGTCATACCCAAGAAGACTTGAGGCTGTAATCGCTGCCAAAGGCGCTTCAACAAAGTACTGAGTAAAGGGTTTGAATACTTATGTAAATGTAATATTTAAAATAAAATAAACTCTAAAAACCTGTTTTTGCTTTGTCATTATGGGGTATTGTGTGTAGATTGATGAGGGGAAAAACTATTTAATGCATTTTAGAATAAGGCTGTAAAGTAACAAAATGTGGGAAAAGTCAAGGGGTCTGAATACTTTCCGAATGCACTGTATACATTTAGCTAAGCCTAAATTTCAGCTGATGGCTGCCAATGTCTTTAAAAAAACTACATAAAATCTCAACAGCATAAAACTGCCACATGACATTCAAATAAGAGGGCATTACTATGGACAAAATGCCAACTTGACATAACATTTACAGTTGGACCAATCCACTTTGAGGACGGAGTATGTAGGTTGTCCATTCAGTAGCCAATGTATTTATTGTGTCAGAGGAACAAAAATGATTGACAGCTCTTCCTGCCAATCCCTGTCTAGATATAAGAGAGGGGTGGATACCAGTGGAGAGGTAGACAGTGTGTGACTGTTCTCCACTCTGGGACAGGTAATAATAGAACATTTCACTTTTAAACCCCCCCCACACACACTTATGAAGTATTTTCAGGTCAGGCTTTCTAGGGCATGTTTAGAGCAGGAAATGTTTGGATGTATTTATATGTACTTCTAGGGACCAAGTAGAAGTCCTTTCTGACTTGTAATAATCTGCAACAACATTATAGTTGAGAATGTTTTACTGGGGGGAAAAGTGACATCAGATTACAGACCCAATGTGATGATAAATTTACATTTTAGTCATTTAGCAGACGCTCTTATCCAGAGCGACTTACAGTTAGTGAGTGCATACATTTTCATA